AAAGAATCTATGATTGTTAATGAATTAAATTATTATATTATTTGTTTATGACTTTCTATCTTTTTCTTCACAAAATAAAGTCATGAAAAGTATCATCAAAATAGAGAGATTGTTTGGAAAACTTTACAAGATTATAAAAACTAATCAACAAGATTATAGAAAACTCTCTAGCAATAGTTTAGCATCTTTCATTTATTTACTTTCTATGATTTTATTAAAGTCATCAAAATTTCTTGTAAATTAGAAACCAATAACACCTCCTTAGTCTCTTAGGAATTGTTGACCAAACACTAAGTCTCTCACGAATTAGTAAGAATCTGTTGAATACATTTTATTAAATTTTAATTGATTAAATTTTATCAGCAAATAAGTCTTTTCAAAATAAATTTGGTCAACAGTCTTGAATTAATAAGAACCAAATGTTTTGTTCCTTTCTCAGCCTCCCTGACCTTTATATATTAACCTTTATCTTAAATGCTTCAAAATCAATAAACTCTCTCTCTTCTCTCTATTGTTAATAAAAATGGAAGTGAGAGGCCCAGCGATGTGGATGTTCTTATTGTGTTGCATCTTTAGTCACATAATTACAAGTCAGAACAATGGCTTCGTAGAAGCCAAGAGCTTTTCTAAATTTGAAGATTTAGAAATCGAGAAGAGACTTGAGTCTATCAACAAACCGGCTGTCAAGATCATCAAGGTTTTTATATATCTTCACAATCTTGTTGTTGTTTTCTATACATTATACAATTAAGCAATATATGTTAACTTCTATAGAAATGGCTGAAAATGATAGAGTATAGATGGAGAAAGATACGGATGTGTGGACTTCTTCAAGCAACCAGCATTTGATCATCCTTCTATGCAAAATCATACATACCATTACAAGGTATAATTTCGGATATATCGGTTCTATATACTTATATTCTTTTAGAAACATTAAAAAAAAAGATAGTAATATGTTTATGGTGTTCGACATGTCTTAGATGCGTCCGATATAGAAAGGAATGAGAGAAAGAAAGACAAACAATACCGGTTTTGGTTACTTATGGGAGAATGGTGTGGGTTGTCCCATTGGTACCGTCCCCATACAAAGAGTCACTAAAGACGATCTTCTGAGATTGGACTCATTTGGCGATAACCATAAACCCCGTGGCTCTTGGAACACTACCACTGATAATTCTAATAGTGTCCTCCATAACGACAAACATCATGTAAGTTGCTTCTTGTAATTAAAAAAACAAGATTATCAAAACACAGTTTGATATATTTATATACTGATAATAACGTTTGGTCATTGAATGAAAATGAACGGGATTAGTTTGCTGTGGCTCGGTCATTAGACCCAACCCAGAGGTTCAATGGAGCAACAATGGAACTTTGTATAACCGCTCCTAAGGTTAAGCCAGCCCAATTCAGTGCTTCTCGACTTCACATTCAGATTGGAAAGGATTTCATCCAAACCGGTTTCACCGTAAGTTACTTAATTTATTTATTTTGTCGTCTACAACTTGTACTCGACAAAAACATCTGACTACAAGGGGACTCTATTTGCTTAATTTATTTAGTAACTAACAAAATATGCAATATATTGTCGAATAAATCCTTTTAATAAACACAAATTATATTTATTAATTCAGGTAAATCCAGCATTGTACAAGGACAGCCAACCTCGGACTTTCGTCTATACAAATGTGAGTGAGTCACATCATGCTAGTAAATTTTCCATTTTAATTTTTTATTTAGCATATATAATGTAATGTATATATTTATGGAACAGTCAGGTGGAAAATCATGTTACAATAGCAACTGCAACGTTGGGATGTTACTCGTTCGTCAAGATTTCCCTCTTGGTACGGCATTGTTGCCAGTGTCTATCCGTGGTGCTAAGATAAGTCACTATGGAATCTTCGGTCTAATCAAGGTTTGATTAAATATGAGTACGACTATGCATTCAAAAAAATTTCTGATATACTTTGTGTTTCTTTATCTAATGTCAAAATTCACCTATTATTTTCGGGTAATAGGACGAAAAAAATGGAAATTGGTGGTTGCAATTTGGTGATAATGCGGAAGAAGTTGGATTTTGGCCGTCGAGTAGGTTTCATCAAAGCTCTGGAAATTACGTCGAGTGGGGCGGAGAAGTGTACAGTGCATCCCTGCCGAGTCCTGAAATGGGATATGGACATTATCCTGTTGAGGATATGCGTTACGATGCATATATCAAACGTATAACCGTACTCGACGGTTTTAATTACGTTGACCGCAGAGTGGCATATCTCGAAGAATTCGCGGACAACGATCGGGGCTACACAGTAATTGACGACTACAGCACTCATAAATACCCTAAGGCTGGTCATATAATCTTTTTTGGTGGTCCGGGAAATATCTGAATATGATTAGTACTTTGCGGAATGAAAATTAAAACATTACATTGACTTCAGTATACAATAAATTAATATCGCCTTTATGGATTTCTTCGAAACAAAGTCTTACTAAATTAAACAGAGAATTTGTCCGATAACTATACATATGCACAAGACATATGAATTGGCATTGACATAGGCTAAACGAATCAAGTAACCACTTGTGTAATTGAATGTCAAAAATATCTCCATGATTATGAATGGCACGCTTTATCTCGTAAATGGAAGTTTACAGCTTCCAACTTGGTCATCTCTGAGAAAACCTTTTTCGGGCGTAGGACCTTTTTCTTTCCAAAGAGCTATACATTCTTTCTACAGCTCTTCCTCTGTCAAGCTTAGTAGAAGGCCATCACTAAACAAAAGTTACTTGGTTCACTATCACATTGTCGAACAAGGAAGTTGGTTTAGGGATTTTAACTACTCGAATATAGCATGCATATTCAAGAGGTGGCCTGATATACTAATAAGATCTTATGAAACAATTTAGTCAATTGCTAGATACTAAAACAAAACAAATGCCTTTTTGGAAGGCAAAAGTTTCTGAAATTGTAAGAGATCTCTTGTACGTGGATCAGCTTACGGGAATTTGAAATGCTACTTCAACACGATCTTCTCTACTTTGGCTCAACTGTGGAATGGGAATCACTGGATGTACGTATGCTTTGAAGAATTTATTTATCCTTCAAAAAGACATTAATAATATGACACTTTTAGACAAGTCAAGACATTCTGAGATAAATTCGTTGATCGATTGGTCTAGTAAAAGATCGTGAGGACTAGATTTATTATCATTAAGATATATTTTGGTGAAAAATACTCATATTTCATTAATACGCGAAATGACAAAAAACGAGTTCGAGTAGTTCTTAGAATATATTTACGAAAACGTAGAAAAAAAATAGTTGAAAGCCTTTTCTCCACTTTACTTATCTTTTCCTCTTTTCTTCTATCCCACTTTCTTAATTCATCATGTCATACTTTTCCGGAAATCATTTCTTGTTTTAAAAACTCAATATAAACTTGTCTTAAATAATGTCAAAAATAGTTGAAAACTTTTTTTCCAACATAACTAAAAACGAGTTTAGAAATATAAGAAAATAACAGTAAAGTAAAATAAACCCGAGGTTCCCGAAATACACCACAAGCGAGACGGACTTGCGCTAATACTCACGATTTTCACCTTAACCTGGAAAAAAGGGAGAAAAAGGGGTGAGTAAAGAATTACTCAGTGAGAAGATTCTTTCCGCCTACTAAAAATACGATACATGAAACTATCTTTACACAACAATCAACAATCACATAGAAAAAGACACAACACTCATATAGTCTGCATCATTATGAAAACTATAACACAAAACTCATTCTCGCCCTTAGCGAGATCTCCACATTAATTCCAGGTTCGGTCATCTCTCCGGACCTTTGAACCTATCTGGTTCCATTGGACTCGTCAGTCTATTATTGAGCTACAAAGAACCCATCAATTCAATGTAAACCATTTTCCACTTTTTCACTTTTCCACTGTTCATCATCTCAAAAGATGGTAATTCCACTTTCTCATATAACCCATATACTAACTTGTTATCACAATGTCACTAACTCAGTCATCATATATCACTAGAACAATCATCATATCATCAATACTAACTAACAAGTCATTACTACTAAGCAAACATATCTAATCCTATGCAAGTGAATCATGAAGCATAAAATTAGAAACTTGTAATCGCATATCCGCATATCACACCCTCACCTTTACCTTTTGATGACGAAGAACAGCTCACTTAAGTATCTAAACAAACGCACCAGTAACTTCAGAATGGACCGTTAACTTCTTAGTCCCACCGTTGAATTTGAATTTTTCTATAACAAGGAACTCTCCCCAAATTTTAGCTTGATCGGATTAGTTTTGAACCTCCAAACATTACCCCAAAGAAAGTACCTCAGATCTGTTATTTTAGGATTTCAGGTTAACTAGTTTTTTGCACACAAAGCAAACGTTATATGGCAGTTAGCTTTTACTTTATTGGGCCTATAATGGGTTTATTGAGGAGTTGGGTCTCACATTGTCGATCCAAAAATATCAAAAAAAAAATATCATATAATTAATAAATTGAAATTTTATAAAAATAAGTATGATCAAATACTATTATAAGATCTAGATTATTTTATTTTTGAAATAGGTCTTAAATATTTTTGAGTTTTGAAATTTGTATCTAATACTATTATAAGATCTTGATTATTTTATTTTTCGGAACATCTTATAAGATCTAGTCTTTGATTTGATTTTAATTGGGAATATTTATCTAGTAAAGAATCAAAGTAACTAAAATTTATTATGATTGTGTACATTTATGATTTATGGAGTTTGCTTCCATATACACAGTTATAAGTCATCAATCATAATGTACACAATCAAAACAGATTCAAATACATAATCTCCACACACACACAAAAACAAGCTTAAGGAAATATAATTAAAACCTAAAAAATAAATAAATCTCTACAACATAAATGCATTGTTAAGATAATTTCTCTCTTACACACGTATATATATAAACCATGTACTAGCAACTTCACATATTAAATATTCTTAACAACATCTCGATAATGGCTTCTCTTGGCTTGATCCTCTGTCTTTTCTCGGTTCTTCTCCTGAGCCTTTGTCAGATTCCAACAGCTATTGAAGATGAAAGAAAGGCAAGTCATTTCTGTTTCGTCTCCTAACCCGAAAATCACTAATCAATATCTTAATTGGTATTGGCCTAATTCATTCTTTGTAACATCTTGACGCAGGTGTATATTGCTTACATGGGAGCTCTTCCTTCAAAAGCTTCTTACTCTCCTATGTCTCACCATCAAAATATCCTTCAAGAAGTTATTGAATCAAGGTTTTATATATAAGACTCTCTAATCTCACTAACCCAACTCTTGTTGCTTGTTGTTTACGTTATTATTTTTTCTTCTTTTGATCTGCAGTTCCGTTGAAGATTCTTTGGTCAGAAGCTATGGAAGAAGTTTCAATGGTTTTTTCAGCCAAACTTACTGAATCTGAAAGAGATAAACTTATGGGTGAGTTTTTATGATTATAAAAGATTATGGGATTCTTTATGATGGTTAATTTGATAATGATGATGATGATGATGATGATGATGATGATGATGATGATGATGATGATGATGATGATGATGATGATGATGATGATGATGATGATGATGACGTTATGTGTGATTTGAAGGCATGGAAGGTGTGGTTTCGGTATTCCCAAACACCGTTTACAAGCTTCTTACAACAAGATCTTATGAGTTCATGGGACTTGGTGACAAGAGCAACCATGTCCCTAATGTTGAGAGCAATATAATAGTTGGTGTAATCGACGGCGGAATCTGGCCTGAATCCAAGAGTTTTTCCGACGAAGGCATTGGCCCAATACCAAAGAAATGGAAAGGAACTTGTGCTGGAGGAACCAATTTCACCTGCAATAGGTAAGAAACATTTTCACTTTCTTTTTTCTTCTCCAATTTTCTTTGCTTGACACACAAGGATCCAAAGATAGAGATTAATCCAAAATTTTATAGGAAGGTGATTGGAGCACGACACTATGTTCAGGATTCCGCGAGGGATAAAGAACCTCACGGGTCACACACGGCTTCAACAGCCGCAGGAAACAAAGTAAAAGGAGTGAGTGTGAACGGTGTGGCAAAAGGAACCGCAAGAGGTGCTGTGCCTTTAGGTAGAATTGCTATTTACAGAGTTTGCGAGCCAGCAGGTTGTAATGCAGACGGAATGTTGGCTGCGTTTGATGATGCTATAGCCGATGGAGTCGATGTTATAACCATTTCTATTGGTGGAGGTGTTACTAAAGTCGACATTGACCCTATCGCTATTGGATCGTTTCACGCAATGCTGAAAGGGATTGTTACTACTGCTGCTGTTGGAAACGACGGCTCTAAACCTGGAAAAGCGTCTAACCTTGCACCGTGGATCATATCCGTGGCAGCAGGTTCAACTGATAGAAAGTTTGTTACTAATGTGGTTAATGGAGAAGGCAAAACCATACCGGTAAGGAACTTTTCTCTTGTTTCAGTTGATATATGAATATGATATTGTCATCAATCATGGTGACTAAGTATGAACATACAGGGAAGATCGATCAATGACTTTGACTTAAAAGGAAAGAAGTATCCTTTGGCTTATGGAAAAACTGCTTCAAGTAACTGTACAGAGGAGCTAGCAAGGTAACTTGTGACTGAAGGACTCCAAAGTGTTCTGACTTGTGACTCAAGAATTTTCACTTTATCGATATACCTTCAATTCTTGGTATTTATTTTCTTGTAGGGGCTGCGCTAGCGGTTGCCTAAACACGGTGAAGGGAAAGATTGTTGTGTGCGATGTTCCAAATGATGTTATGGAACAGAAAGCAGGGGGTGCGGTTGGAACTATTCTTCATGTAACCGATGTTGATACTCCCGGTCTTGGTCCTATTGCGGTTGCAACCTTAGATGATTCCAATTATGAAGCATTCAGATCTTACGTTCTCTCCTCACCGTAAGACTTTTTCCTTAGACATTCTTTGATTATATTATTTTTAAGAATGTTTAAGACAACTTTCGATGTGAAACAGAAACCCGCAAGGAACTATATTGAAGAGTGGGACAGTTAAAGACAATGATGCTCCGATCGTTGCTAGTTTCTCTTCTCGTGGTCCAAACACTCTCTTTAGCGACATTTTGAAGGTAACAAACACTCGAAACAAATTTCACAGAACTTTAATTAGTGTTTCTATTTTGCATTTGTTGGAATTTAGATCAATGTCTTGACAACTAAAACATATATATTTGCAGCCGGATATTACAGCTCCAGGAGTGAATATATTAGCGGCATATACACCATTGGCTCAAACCGCGCTTCCTGGACAAAGTGTCGATTACTATTTCATGACTGGAACATCTATGGCTTGTCCTCATGTCGCAGGTGTAGCTGCTTATGTCAAGACACTACGTCCTGATTGGTCCGCTTCTGCCGTCAAATCTGCTATCATGACTACCGGTAATTATCAACATCAAACCGTTTTATTCACTGAAGAAATCATTTAAGTGACATGTGACGTGAATCCTTTTTGTTTTGTTGCAGCTTGGGCAATGAACGTTTCGAAAAATGCAGATGCTGAGTTTGCGTATGGATCAGGATATGTTAACCCTTCAGTAGCAGTTGAGCCAGGACTTGTTTACGAAATCGCTAAAGAGGATTACTTGAACATGCTTTGCTCTTTGGACTACTCATCCAAAGGCATTAGTACTCTCGCGGGCGGTTCCTTTACTTGTTCTGAAAAATCTAAGCTTACTATGAGAAACCTCAACTACCCAGCAATGACAGCCAAAGTTTCAGCCTCATCATCTTCAGATATCACTTTTTCAAGAACCGTCACAAACGTTGGGGAAAAGGGATCCACTTACAAGGCAAAACTGTCTGGGAATCCAAAACTCAGCATCAAGGTTGAGCCAGAGACTCTCTATTTCAAGTCACCGGGGGAGAAGAAGTCTTTCACTGTTACAGTCTCTGGCAAGAGTCTTGCTGGTATTTCTAGTATTGTGTCGGCGTCTCTTGTTTGGTCGGATGGATTACGCAATGTGAGAAGTCCTATTGTTGTGTATACTTAGGCATCAACTCCAACCTCAAGACAATAAAAGTATTTGATGTTATTGTATGTGATATACTAGTATATGTTCTTGATATTAAAATTCAGTTTCTTTAAATAAGAAGTGGTTCTGTTTGTCTTCATTTCATGGTTAAACTCGGTCTAGGACTAGGGCCTCCAACTTGGACTTAGCTCTTTTAACCTGACATTATGAATAACAACTCTATTCACTCCCCAGTCCCTTCTGCGATTTATAATCCATATATGAACTATGATAAATCTACAAATCTACAACACAATACTCGGAGTTGTAAACTTTATTTATTAAACAACAAAGATATAGCTAAATTTAATGTCTTATTGAAAAGTTCTCGATAATCATTTAGTCTCCTTGAGTTATCAAAACCTCAAAGTGGATTACATAATTTTTTCTACTGTTGCATGTATATTTGCTCCCTAGAAAAATACATAGTAGTTAATTATTCTTTGAGTGAATTTCGTAATAGCATTCATGTAAATGTACTTCTCAATTTATTGTATAGATATATGCAAGCAAATTATATGCAAGCAAATTTTATTTTAGAAATAATTATATATGTTTTTTTGCAAAGCATTATATTTGTGTTTAGCATTATATTTGTGTTTCGGCGTAAGAAATTTCCAAATAAGATTTCCAAAAATCTTATTTGGAAGTAAATTTTCATATGAACAATCATAAAATCTATAATATTTCTTTTGATATGATATATTTTGAAATATATATACTACAAAATCTGAATATCATAATATATAATATCAAAATATCTGTGGAAAGGAAAAAAAATTACTGAAATATCTATAATAAAATCATAGTGATATGTAATGTCCTTATTAATGTAGTTTCTTTAGAGTTTTAAGGTCACTGTACTCCTCACTTTTTTCAAGCATGTACTTCTCAATTAATAATATAGAGATATGGCAATGATATTATCCCATATTTACCAAAAAATCGAGAGAATGATTTAGTGAAAACTAAAGAATAAATCATATTATCATTTTTATTAATTATCAAATAAAGAAAATCATGTTGTTTATCGTATTCAATCCATTCTCAAACAAAGAAAATCATGTTAACTATAGTATTAAACCCATTCTATGTACTTATTATAGTTTATATATTTAAAATAAATAAATACAAAAAAAATATTTTAAATGGATCCTAACAACAACAATCGATCACATTTGTGGAGTAAAGAAACTTTATGAAAACAGCAATCGATCAAATTTATTGACATTTTTTTAGATTTCTATTTTCTTTTAGATTAAAAAATACTAAATATTTATATAAAATGATTATAAAATAGATAATCTAGTTCTTAAAAACAAAATGAAATGGATAATATATTTTTGATCAAATATAAGTTTAATTAAATACTTTACTATATATTTTTGAATAAAAATAACTTGAATTAGTACAAGTTCATATATATATTTTTTTGAATTTAAAATTCGTATTACCATAGAATGGAATGAAATATACTGTATATATTTAATTCCCATATTCATTGCATTGTCACGATCATTTCTCTTTATAAACACTAACCACATATTTACATATATAGAACCATGTACTAGCAACTTCACATATTGAGAATTATAATCAACAATTGAAAGTCTCGATAATGGCTTCCTTTGGCTTGATTCTCTGTCTTTCCTCGGTTCTTCTCATGAGCCTTTGTCAAATTCCTACAGCTTTTGAAGATGAAAGAAAGGCAAGTCATTTCTGTTTCGTCTCGTAACCATAATAACTAATCTATATCTTAATTTGTATTGGCCTAATTCATTCTTTGTAACATCTTGACGCAGGTGTATATTGCTTACATGGGAGCTCTTCCTTCAAAAGATACTTACTCTCCTATGTCTCACCATCAGAATATCCTTCAAGAAGTTATCGAATCAAGGTTTATATATAAGACTCTCAAATCTCAATCATCACCCAAATCTTGTTGCTTGTTGTTTACGTTATTCTTGTCACTTGTCTTTCTTGCTCTGCAGTAATTCCATAGAAGATTCTTTGGTTAGAAGCTATGGAAGAAGTTTCAATGGTTTTGCAGCCAAACTTACTAAATCTGAAAAAGATAAACTTATTGGTGAGTTTTATAATTATAAAAGATAATTAAACTCGTGACATGATGGTTAATTTGATGATGGTGGTGTCTTGTGTAATGTGAAGGCATGGAAGGTGTCGTTTCCGTATTCCCAAGCACCGTTTATAAGCTTTTTACCACAAGGTCTTATGAGTTCATGGGACTTGGTGACAAGAGCAACCATGTCCCTGAGGTCGAGAGCAATATAATAGTTGGTGTAATCGACGGCGGAATCTGGCCTGAATCCAAGAGCTTTTCAGACGAAGGCATTGGCCCAATACCAAAGAAATGGAAAGGAACTTGCGCAGGAGGAACTAATTTCACCTGCAATAGGTTAGTAACATTTTCATTTTTCTTCTCAAAGTTTCTTGCGTGACAAGAAAGGATTGGTCTGCCAAGTTTCTAATCCAATTTCTAATGCAGAAAGGTGATTGGAGCACGACACTATGTGCAGGACTCGGCAAGAGACAGTGACGCTCATGGATCACACACTGCTTCAACAGCCGCAGGAAACAAAGTAAAAGGAGTGAGTATGAACGGTGTGGCAGAAGGAACTGCAAGAGGCGGTGTGCCTTTAGGTAGAATTGCTGTTTACAAAGTGTGTGAGCCAGCGGGTTGTAGTGGCGATAGACTGTTGGCTGCGTTTGACGATGCTATAGCGGATGGGGTTGATGTTATAACCATTTCTCTTGGAGGCGGTGTTACTAAAGTTGACAATGACCCTATTGCTATAGGATCATTTCACGCGATGACCAAAGGGATTGTTACCACGGTAGCTGTTGGAAACGCCGGCTCTGCACTTGGAAAAGCAGATAACCTTGCACCGTGGGTTATATCGGTGGCTGCTGGCTCTACTGATAGAAAATTTGTTACTAATGTGGTTAATGGAGAAGGCAAGATGATACCTGTAAGAAGTCTTTCCCTTGTTTCAGTTGATATACGAAATGTGTTTGTTGTCGTCGATCATGGTGATTATGTACATACAGGGAAGATCGATCAATGACTTTGACTTAAAGGGAAAGAAGTATCCTTTGGCGTACGGAAAAACAGCTTCAAACAACTGTTCAGAGGAGCTAGCAAGGTAACTTGTGACTCAAAGAATCTATAGTGACCTAACTTGCAACTCAAGAAGTTATATGTTATGGATATATCTTTTGATACATTTTTTTTTCTATGCTAGGGGTTGCGCTAGCGGTTGCCTGAACACGGTGGAGGGAAAGATTGTGGTGTGTGATGTTCCAAATAATGTTATGGAACAGAAATCAGGGGGTGCGGTTGGAACTATCCTTCATGTAACCGATGTTGATACTCCCGGTCTTGGTCCTATTGCGGTTGCAACCTTAGATGATACCAATTATGAAGCATTAAGATCTTACATTCTCTCCTCACCGTAAGAATGTTACATAAAAAATCTTAGATTAGTTTCTGTTAAGATGTTAATGACATTTTTCGATATGAAACAGAAACCCGCAAGGAACTATATTGAAGAGTGAGACAGTTAAAGACAACGATGCTCCAATCGTTCCTACCTTCTCTTCTCGCGGTCCAAACACTCTCTTTAGTGACATTATGAAGGTAACAGACACTCAAACCAAAACTAACCGACTCTGTGATTATAATTTACATTTGTTGGAATTTGGATTGACTGATGTCTTGAGATGTATATGCAGCCGGATATAACAGCTCCAGGAGTCAATATATTAGCAGCATATTCACCACTGGCTCAAACCGCGCTTCCAGGACAAAGCGTGGATTACTATTTCATGACCGGAACATCTATGGCTTGCCCTCATGTCGCAGGTGTAGCTGCTTATGTCAAGACACTACGTCCTGATTGGTCTGCTTCTGCTGTCAAATCTGCTATCATGACTACCGGTAATTATCAACATCAAATCGATCTATTCCCTGAAGGAAGAATTTAAGTTAAATGAGATCCGAATCGATCCTTTTCGTTTTAATGCAGCTTGGGCAATGAACGCTTCAAAAAATGCAGAAGCTGAGTTTGCATATGGATCAGGATTTGTTAACCCTACTGTGGCAGTTGATCCAGGACTTGTTTACGAAATAGCCAAAGAGGATTACTTGAACATGCTTTGCTCTTTGGACTACTCATCTAATGGCATTAGTACTATTGCGGGTGGAACCTTTAGTTGTTCTGAACAATCAAAGCTTACTATGAGAAATCTCAACTACCCTTCAATGGCAGCCAAAGTTTCAGCTTCACAATCTTCAGATATCACTTTTTCAAGAACAGTCACCAATGTTGGGAAAAAGGGATCCACTTACAAGGCAATATTGTCTGGCGATCCTAAACTCAGTATCAAGGTCGAACCGAATACGCTCTCTTTCAAGTCACCAGGGGAGAAGAAGTCTTACACCGTTACAGTCTCTGGCAAGAGTCTTGCGGGTATTTCTAGTATTGTGTCGGCGTCTCTGATTTGGTCAGATGGATCACACAACGTGAGAAGTCCTATTGTTGTGTATACTTAGCTATCAACCCCAAACTCGAGATAATAAAAGTATTTGATGTTATGGTCTGTGTTCTGAAGAACTTCTCAATATTAAAATTCCGTTTCTTTCAGTAGACAAGGGATTACGTAATTTTACACTCAATCTAGGCTATGACATAAAAGATATCCCTGTGATACCTTTGGAAACTCGAAAGTCCCAAATTTTCACCCCTTACCCGGGAACATCCCCTCCATGTATTCATCGAAGTTTTCATCATCCTTGCCTTCTCTATCACCACCTTCCAACTTGGACTTTCCCGTTTTCCCTGCAATATGAAACACTCTGTTAACTCCTTCCCAAAATTATAGTAATCCATAACTTTTTCTATATAGAATAGACGTGCAATATAAAGAACTTTGCAAATTCCTCACCTTTTCTCCTATCCTCTTCGTCTGTGTCATCTTCACTGCGTGATTGACTCCTGAATTTCAAAATTAATGTGTTTAGCTTAATGTAATCCAAAACAAAACTGTGACCCGTAGTTGTAAAATGACGTGAATCTCTCTATCCATACCGTTTTCGTTTCTGCTTTTTCTTTTCTTTACTCTCTGATCTTTCACCCTCCTTTCTTTTCTCCTCTTTGTCTGTGTCATCTTCACTGTGTGATTGACTCCTGAATTTTAAAATTAATGTTTTTAGCTTAATGTGATCCAAAACAAAACTGTGACCCTTAGTTTTAAAATGACATCAATCTCTTTATCCATACCGTTTTCGTTTCTGCTTTCTCTTTTCTTTACTCTCTGATCTTTCACTCTCCTTTCTTTTTTTGTAGTAAAGCTTCTCTGCACATCTAATGCCAAAAACGTTTGATATTAGACCAAGAAAGTGTTAACCAAAAGCATAGAAACAAACCAAGATACAAGTATAGTGATAGTAAGGTGTACAATGAGTGCCTACCTCTCACAAGCTACGAGTTTTACAAGGGCTTGTTTATCTTCTCCAGCTTCATGATAAGAAAAATTCACCTGCAAAATCAACAAGCTCAGTGAAATAATCCGACACAAACATCAAAACAGTAACTGAGAAACTCTCTAAAGATACATGCCTCATAGCTTGCTAACCCTTCCTTTTCATCACAATGTTTGCTCCCACACAAAAACTGCCCTGACAGAAAGCAGTTGCATTTACACTTAAAACTCTTATCACAGCTCCTTCAAAAGAAATCATAGACAAAAGAGTTTGAAGTAATACTAACCTTTCCCAGTCATTACTTCCTTTTCCGTTCTCCATCTTAAACCGATCTACAAAGATTCAAAATAAATCAACTGAACAAAAGATTACAGAAATCTACAATGAGATGTGGTATTCACACACTAGACTTTACCTTACCAGTCTTGTATCTTGACATGTCAGCTATACAGTATCTTTAACCAGTCAAGGAGACAGACATGCACTTATATACACTCTCGTAAAATAGTATTAGTACCATAACTAAAAGTAATCTACCAGGTGTTAATGTCTCTAAAGCAGCACCATGTTTTAAAGGATACTCTTTAAAAAGCTTATCATAGTATCGCTTCACCAGTCTTTGCTCCCAAGAAGGATTTAAATCATCTTCTTCAGAACGTATAAACCTTTGCAAGCCAAACCCAAAATTAAGAGAAAACATACAAAGGCGGATGTAGTAATAGATATATGCAAACATATGGCGGGCGAATACCAACTTAGATTCAACAAGAAACTTACAAATTCATCAAAAAAGCATGCATCCTAACTTTCCAAAACAAAAACATATTGACAATTGCAACATACCTGTATCCTTCTCTTAATGTGTCCTGATCCGTTTTAACCGGTAATTTGACTTCAGCTGGCTTATCTTTCCCATAAAAACGAACTGTAAAGTTGCAAGAAACAAAGATTACCAAACCTCCTCAAATAGCAGCTAACTCTAAGGTAAAAGGTATAATCTTTCTAATGGAGACCAAAAAAAAAGAAGACTTGTATGGCTGACTGTAGCCTCCTTCCTAGCTCAGAGGAGAAGACTGTTCATCAACCAGAATTTTGATTTGGGACAAAATGGATTTTGGATAAATAGAAAGCCACTTATTTACCCTTATTCGTTGTCCATTAAAACCTATTATCGAAGCTACAAATCGAAAGACATTGAAAGAAGTGTAGTACCGTAGTCTTTCAAGAACTTCTTATGCCGCTCGTAAGCATTCAGGCCACGAATATGTGCTTGGTATTGCCTGCACGCACGATTGAGCAATCAAGAGAAAATCTGACGGATTCGAACACAGTGAACAAGAGCAAGAAGAAGAAGAAGAATAGATAGAAGGAAGATTAACTGCTTGCGTTCTTCTCTGTCGTAGATATCAGATCTGATCGCCGCCGAAGAAGTCATGTCGCCGCCGATGTCCGATGGAGCTATCGTAGACCTTCTTTAGCTATCTCTGTCTCTTTTTTTCTCCGATTGCTATTAATTGGCTGGGCCGTATGGGCAAACAATATGGGCCATTGAAATGTTATAATGTCCAAAGTGTGAATTTTTTTTTTTTTTTTTACATCTTTCAGACAATCCATAGTCACGCGGGGTAACGCGATTTGGAGGAGTCGAACTCTGGTGGAAACAGTCCAAAGTGTGACTTAAATATTTTTTGTTTTATATTTTTAGGGTTGATCAAACTATTAAAAATTTTGAACATAATGGAGCCTATGGAGTTATCTTTAAAACATCTAGTTTTGATTACCAATGGTCTTGGTTCTCTTCCTATAGGCTTTGGATGATACCAACTTTCACTCTACGCTAGTTACTTATTTTTCGATAAGAATAGAAAACCAGTCAGAAGCATACCAAAGAGTGAGTCAGTTAAGGACAACAATGCTTCCGTTGTTGCTCATTCTCTTTTCGTGGTCCAAACGCTATCGTTAGGGACATTTTGAAACCCGCAATAGAAGCTCTGGTGGTTGATATTATTGGTAGCAGTAGAAGGAGAAAGTGTAGATTACTACTATTTCATGTCGGGGACATCTATGGCTTGCCCTTATGTCACAGGTATAGGTATAGCTGCTTTTGTAAAGAGGCTTCGTCCTAGGTTGTCACTTCCTGCTATCATGACTACCAGTAAATTGTCTCTGGTTTGGTTGAATGGATCACACATTGTGACAAGTCCTTCTGTTGTGTATGCTTAGATATTTGGTCAAAACTTGACAGGAACTAAGGAGTAATTATGCCATAGAGACTTTGCGACTCTCATGTTCTAACAAATCCATCAAATATATATGAAAGAAAATAGGCATTTGGATTTCATGACCACAGCAAATATATTTTTCAAACAACTTAAAATCTGGACAGACCTGACAATAAAACCCAAACTCTATGGAAACCTAATAGGACAATGCATGATGGAGTACGAAGAATAAGAATACTGAAACGTCTTGTATAAGAGATAAAACTAAGGGGAAGACTCTAAAATTACAAATCGAAACCTATGACTACAAATAGCTAGCTTCCTGAAAGATAGAAAGAGCCGACGAAGAGGCTTAAACAAACCATGATAAATCTTATGTGAATAACTTCTCCGATGTGTTTGTATAATAACCTTCATCTCTCACTTCTTTTTCTCCCTTGAATATCTCAATATCATCGAAACCTGTACACATTTATTTCATCTTTTTTTCAAATCTCAAATCTTCGAAAACAAAAAGTAAATATTGTCTGAGGATGCTGAATCTTTTTACCTGAGCCCAAGTCTTCAGTATCATCAATAATCGGTACTACTTGTGTCCTATGAATAGATTCTAGCGACTTCCAGTCCGCGCTTCCATTTCCTTCTACACAAGCTTGGTCTCCAGAAACCCAGTCTTTAAGAACATCTCTCCTGTTGTGTGACAACGGGTCTAGTGTGTCATCCCCGCTTTCAGGACCCCTAGATGAGACAGAAAACCATTATTTGTATCCTTTCTTACTACCTGGAAACAAAGAAGTTAGCTGAGATGGGCAAGATCTATGACTTACAGTTGTCTGAGGCGCATGTTGTACTGAACAAATACAAGATCGCTGAGCCGTTTTTGCTCAATGGAGTTCTTCGATTGGTATATTTGTTCGACGGGTATCTGGTTTCTCCTGCAGCTAACTGATGAACTGCACGTCTGACTAAGAATGCGTATCGCAAAACGTGAGAGGTTCAAGCAGCTTTCTCCATATGTAGACCACCACTCAGCTAAGAACCAAGCATGTAAAGAGAGTCAAGTAAGAGAAGTACAAGCGAGAAGATTTACACAAGAAAATCAAGGAAATTAACCATACCAGGAAGCATTGTGTCCCGAGCTCTGATTGCCAAGTTTCTTCCAAAAACTCCACCAGCAGTTTTGTAGGAGGTTAACTCCTTGATGATTTTATCTTGAATCTTGTCATCAGGAACCAATCTCTCGACGCAATCGAGCACCGATAGAATAAGCTCACTGCGCATTTCTTCATTGGCGTTATAAAAGAATTTCGGGTTCAGAAAGAAACCAGCAGCAAGCAAAGGAATATGCTGTTGTTGCTCCCACCATCGATCTATAATTTTCCAGTATATTATGTAATCCTCCCTATTAACCAAATGTGTCTTGATTGCATCCTTTGCTCGGTACAGTGCTGCATAGACATACCCCATTGCAGGCCTCTTTTCAGAACACACTATTCTCAAAGCCCGCAAAAGAGGACTCGTTAAATGGTTTACCAAAGCTACTGCCTTCCAAAAGGCTTCATCAGTGATAGCATTCATCACCAATCCACTTGGTTCCTCCGAGTATGAACATTCATTCCACTCTGCCGAAGTAACCATAGCCTGCAGATTGGATTTGAGCTCGGCAATTCTACCCAATGTAGCAAAATTTGTGGCAGAAGAGCTAAATGCTGGTAGCAGGATATCATTGCCAGAAGTAAACTTCCACATCAGATTCAAAACACCACTACGGTTGTATATAAATCTTGAGATAGCTCGAGCCTGTTCAATAGTCTCGCTTATCCAGCCAAGTTTCCCAAACTCCTCGAGCATCTGGTCTATGCAATGTGCAGCGCAAGGAACCCAATATAGAGAAGGGTACACAAGCATCAACTTTTTCCCAGCATCAACGTAGTGATCTTCGCATTTTGTAATCACTTGAACAACATTGGTACTGCCAATTTCTTCAACCAGTTCGCTAAGTAGCTCAAACAATGTATCAGCAGAAGATAATATCTCAGACGCGTCCACGGATTTCAGAAAGACTACTTTTTCAGGGCAGTTTACCAAAAAGTTAAGCACTTTAAGGCCATTATCAGAGTTCAATTCCTCAACCAAAATAGAACAGCCTGTCCTCTTCCACATCACTTTGCATTCATCAACTTCTTTCGCCATTTCCTCAACACAATTCTTCAGTATCCAACCTCGAAGGTCATCATGCGTGGGGGCAGATACCCCGAATCCTCCAGAGGCAATGGCATCGATCATCGGTTGGAAATTAACAGAATTCACTGCATCAAAATCAGCTCCAATACCAAACAAAAACCGACCAATCGCCATATGAATTGTACTCTCCCTATCTCTAAAGGACGGGTGCACAATGTTCTTCACACTACTAATCGCCACCGGAATCAAATTATCCATATCTCTACCAATCAAGTCAATACTATTACTCGCACTACCATTCTCAAAAGCATTCTTTCTACTCCTGTAAGTTCTTTGCTTTGTTCTCCCACCCGACACGCTCTCGTTTTGCACAACCACATCCGAACTACCCGGCGATTTAAAACCATCATTCACATCAGGCTGAACCACCATCATATCTCCTTCAATAGGAGGTAAAGCAGCAACAGACAAAGGTTCTGAACTAGATTTATGTCTCTTCCTCTGACGTCTCACAGTTCCATCAATACACTGCTGCAAAAAAAGCCTCACATCTTCAGGAACTTGGTCACAGATAGTACCTTGACCCTTTTTACCAGCAAGATGTTCCTTAACCCTGGTGATACCACCACCTTTGAACATTTTCCGACAGTAGAGACAACGCATCTGAAGTCTATCACCGTATTTGTAAATTTCACAATGCTTCCATGCATTGTCTTGTTTCTGAGGTGTTAGAGCTACAGGTTCTAATTCTGAATCCATTAAGCCTGAGGAAGAAGACAAAGAAAGGTAGAGACTTTGTTAATGGGTTATAACAAAATTAAGCATAGATCCTCTAATGAACCTTTTCAAGAAAAAAGATTTGAAATTTCGCAAACCTCATGCATCGAAATTCTTTAGCCGGGTTAAACAATTTCGATAGAAACAAAACAAACCCGTGGATTTGTTTGTACAAGGAGATGAAGAAAAAGAACCTGTTTTGGTTTGTGGCCGGTTACGAAGAATCGGTTTCGGAGAAAGTGATGAAATTCCGGTAGAATTGCTTCGGTTCTGGAGAAGAGGAAGCTGGAATCAACCGGAGATGGAGATTTCCGACGAACGGCGGAGAGAATCAGAGGAGGATGGAGGATTGCAATGTCGGAGAAATCGACCCGGCCCGTTTTAGGGTTCGAAGAAATAGGTTTGGCAGCTTTTTCCTGGTTTATGACCTATAAATCGGCAAATCTATATCATGACGTCACCAACCCAATTTTGCTAAAATTTGTTTTCCGTTTTTAACATTTTGTTATTCCGTAATTACTAAACGACGTCGTTTGGTTTTTAGGGCAATTTTGTTAAAACGGCGTCGTCTTCTCTTCTTCGATTAGCGTCAGTCTTCTTCTTCGTCTTCTCAGTCTCTGATCTGGGTTTTGCTTCAACGTGAAACAGCATTGAGTTTGAAGACGAAGTTTCTGTTTACTTAATCTCCTGTGAGAGAAACTTCTTCTTGACTTAAACATCATCAGAGGTAATTGTTTTATTTGTGATTGATCAACATTCACAAGTAGGATAAGAACTTGTTGATCTACTTCTAAAAAATCGTAATTTTGAAATTGTTACAAGAGTGAGTGACATTTTATGTGTGAATACTAATACTGTAGTGTTGCTGACAAAAACGTATAGGTATATGTACATTTGTTTTCGCTGAGGCATTTCGTCGAACAGTTAGACGACGACTTGAGATGGATAAGCTTCTTGAGAATCATCAGTTTGCGACGCATGCCATCGCTGCCTCTGCCTCTGTCTCGTTAGGAACTGCTCTCGCTTATCCTCTGGATACCATCAAAACTATAATCCAGGTTTCGTCCCTCTTCTTCACCATATTGTTCTTTCTATCACTTTGATTCATCTGGGGATTGATTTAAGCATTGAACTGTGCAGGTTGGTTCAGGACCCAATAAGAAATTAAGCTCCTTTCAAGTTGTGAATAGAGTTCTTCGATTCTCTGGCTATTCAGGTCTCTTTAGATTTCAATCATTTTCTATATCTGCATTAGGCAAAATGACATTTTGTTGAATGTTGGACACAAATGCAGGTCTGTACAGTGGTCTTGGATCGTT